TAGCTTGGAATGATCCTAGAGCTCTAGTTTCAGTCTTTCTAGAGCCCCTGGTTTCATATGATGATGCTGAAATGACTATGGCGATTTCTCTTAAAAACGATGCTCCATATATGTTAGCTGTCGTCAATGTCAGTAAAGTTGCTGACACGAGCCTTTTCCACATCAAACACAACAAAGGCTTGCTGCTTTTTCCGGGTTCTGTAACGCAAGTGGCTTTAATCTCATGTGCCCAATTGCCTTCAGCTGTCATAGAAGCATCTGACATTAACAACAGTTGTGTCGTACTCGTACTGACAAATGACTCTAGTAATCCTGAGGTTGAAATTCTTTGTCGGGATGTCTTTCACATCTGCTCAAGAAACAAAAAGGATTCAAGCAACAAAAAGTCGGGACCTTCAGGAAGTGGCATGTCTTCTTCTTCTCAGGTTAAGGTACATAACCTTCCTTGTCACTTTTAAACTCTCTGGAAACTTTAAGAATGTGTTGATTTTCTACAAGGCACTTGGTGTATTTTCTCCTCTGGATGTACTTTTTCTGGAGCTAAGATGCGCATGAACTGATACTTTTTTTTCTTAGGCACTTGAAAGGGCCCATTCGGATGATGAGCTGATTCTGGGAAACTGGAAATCTCAAGGCATCAGGAGTAACTTGTCTGTCCTCAAAGAACATGAAGTTACTTTCCCTGTGGTTCAGGTGGGCACCCATGGATCCAGGTACATTACAGTGAAAAACCCTAGCCATGAACCAGTTGTTATGCAGTTTGTCCTGAACTCTGGAGAAATCATCGACGAGTGCAAAGGACAAGACAGTATTCATTTTTCTCAGTTCAATGGGTCAGTGGCAAGAAAAGGTTCAGAGCTCGGGAAGAACGCGTTCTCAGTAGCAGAAAACGCAGTGACTGAGGCCTATGTTTATCCTAGCAGCGAATTGACTTTTGGTCCTATACACTTCCACCCTTCAAACCGGTGCAGGTGGAGAAGTTCTGCTTTGATAAGGAACAATCTTTCTGGTGTTGAGTGGATATCTCTAAAGGGTCTAGGAGGGTCCCTTTCCTTGATCCTTTTAGAAAAATCTGAACCTGTCCACACCATAGAATTTCAGCCGGATGTGCCAAGCTCTCTCGGTATGTCTCCCATGTGTTACAAGCCATTGTCTAAAGTGCTGTATGCCAAAAACACTGGGGATTTCCCTCTTGAGATCCAAAGCATTTCGGTTTCAGGGACAAAGTGTGGAGGAGATGGTTTTGTTGTACATCAGTGCAAAAGCTTTTCACTTGAACCAGGGGAATCAAGTAGTTTTCACTTGTCCTACCACATGGATCTTTCAGCTTCTACAGTGAATAGAGATCTCGAGTTTGTGTCTGAATCTGGAGTTATTCTTGCAGTGCCTCTGAAGGCAAGTATTCCGGTCTTGATGCTTAATCTTTGCAAGAAATCGGTCTTCTCGGTGCGACTGAAGAAATTTTCAATGGCTGTTCTTCTTGCTGCTGCTTCACTCTTTTTGTTACTCTACTTTGTGTTTCCACAAATGACGGCCATTATCTCCCATGACCACCGCTTCTACGAGAGCAGTAAGAGAAGCTGCAACAGAGTAGCAATCAGAAGGGCGGCCGAGAAATCATCGTCCCATTATCAGGAGAAACACAACGGCTTCACAATCTCCCCCGAAATGGATTCTCTGCTAAGGTCAATGAGGGAAGATACGCTCGGAAGGATGAATAATGGCAAAGATGAGGTCTCAGCAGAGGCAGAACAATCCAGGAAGCTAACACCGGCTTCTGGTTCTGCACCAGAACCCGTGAATCTAACGGTGAAAACTGTGAGAGACAAGAAGAAACGTAGGAAGAAGAAAAAGGGCGTCGTAACGATGAGGCTGATGGAAGTTTCCAGCAGTCACAGTGGGAATTCGACCCCGACCTCTCCCATATCACCTGCCATATCTGCAACTCCTGAAACAGACGACCATCCTTTCAGAAGGGTTGAGCCGCCTGGTTCAGGACCACCTCGAGCCGCAAAGCCGTCGGTCCTGTCTCACTCGGCAACGTTCCCGTGCACGGCTACGAGGTCCGTGACGATAGGACGGAGCAGTTCGCCGCTGGCTCCGAGTGCGAGGGCTCCAGGGGCGAAACTTGGCGGGAAAGAAAGTGTGAAGAGGAAGGAGGAGATGTGGTACGACATGTGGGGAGATCATCTGAAGGGACTGAATCTGATGGATAAGTTCAAGGAGGTGAGAGCTGGGAAGAGCTCTGGTCTTGCAGAGGATGCTGATGACGACTCCGACAGTTTCTTCGTAAAGGGGCCTCAGAGCTTCTTGACAAACTCTCATCCCAGATATGTCAGTTTCTTCAGCCCTTAGCGAAAAATTCGAAATAAAAAAAAAAAAAAAATTAAAGAAATACATGCATATCATTGGGACCAACAAGTTTCAGGCCAAGGAAATGGGCCATCTTTTCTGGGCCTCTTAATGGGCCCCGACTAGACGGATCTCAATCTGCTAACGCTAAAGGGTAAAAAGGTCAAATCAACCTGTTACCCGATATAAAGTCGCGGAATCCCATCGTGACGCAGGTAGACGACACGCTCCGAAACGAACGACACTAAAGCTTTCCTTGTTGGTAGGAAACAGCTCGTTATGAGGAACTATGAATAAAATGCCCTCTGGATAGTTGAGGTTCAATTTATTTAAGAAATGAACGTTGTGATCCCCAAACACAGTTTAAACCAGACCCAAGAGGAGGAGGAACACGAAACGTAAATGTGAGAAATTGGGTGGGCCCGTTTCATCTACTATGAATGTTGGGCCTTTTTGGGCTTATTGGGCTTTTGGATCCGTACTATACGTTGTGTGGGACTAAGGTACGGTTTATGGAGTTTTTTTATTAAAAAATAAAATAACTGAGTGATGTTAATAATGACAAGATAATTAATTATTCGTAAAGGTATTTCCGTTATATATAAAAAAGAAAATTGGTGGAGGACCACGTATCGTTACTACCAATGACTTTGAAAGATTTCGTATAATAGAAACTATTGCCGAAAAGATTTCCATGGCGAGTGACAAACCCTTTTGGGCCTATTGAATTAAAGTCCGTCTTTGTCTTCATCCACATCACCTCACTATTAAACAAATAAATGGGAAAATAAAATAATGTAAAATGTTGATTCTCCTTTCCTTGGGTGATATTTCGTTTAGATCGAAGCAGAAGAAGACATATCTCTTTAAGGGCGATTTTTTTTTTTTTTTGAGAATGTGATGAGAATGACCATACATACGTTATACAATTTTCTGACTCTATATATTCAAACTGTGTTTTATGATTCCATGCAAGGATCTCAAAAACAATGATGTATACTAAATTTACACCTCTTACTGTTCAAAACTGCAACACTAGGGGCAATGTTTCTGCATATAAATGTATCCTCGCCCGCGAGTATTTTGGCTTTAATACTATATATGCGACCCAACTTATTCACATATAAAAAAGAGAGAACAAAATGGTGGTTATTATTCGATTTTCTGTTTCTGTTGAGTGAAGGTTTGCTATTATTGTATTTGCCCAACTAAACAACATGGAATCTATTTCCATTTGATGTAAAAAAAAAAAAATTGGAGATTGGAGAGAGTAAATGTATGGACCAGGTCCTGCCTGCTCTCTGGACCAATGATAATGAAAGTATAATATATAGCGCCCCCCCGAAAAAAAAGTATAAGTGCAATATGATGATAGTAATTATACTAAGGTTGTGATTGCATTTAGGGGTTATATTTATTTATATAAATATATATAAGAGGAACATGAAAAGGGGATGAATGAATGGCAGAAAAAGTTTGAGACGATTTGACCAAACAAGGAGAGATGGATACTCGCTGGTCCCATAGATAATGATTGAATATATTTTGCTTTCTTGAAATGTATCTCTCCCCCACTCCCATATTTCGAGAATCCATCAATATATATAATCCTTATCTCACTGGTTCGATATTGTCAGTAATGGTTCCATTTACAATATATATATATATATATATATATATATATATATGTAGTGAAGTATAATAGCAGCTATAGTAATGTACATAGGAATTAATAACCGATGTTGAATAACTAAGTGACGATACGTGTATGCATTAGAATGGGCTGTATTTGGACTTTTTTTTTTTTTGTATGGCTTAGATCCAATTTGATAACGTATGCACACTGACTTGTAAAACTGGGGCCATTTATCCTTCTTATTTTTTCTTGGATCTGAATAGTATGTATGGCTGGTTGTGTGTACTGTTTTAGAAAGAAGACGCGCTTATAGATATATATACACATACACACACACACTTGGCTCTTCTTATCCAAATTAAAATGAGATGCATGTATCTATACAAAGACATATATGGACAGACTCGTATGTATGTATGCATGTATGCATGTATGCATGTATGTATGTATGTATGTATGTATGTATGTATGTATGTATGTATGTATGTATGTATGTATGTATGTATGTATGTATGTATGCGGATGAGCTGTAGATAAGGGAAAGAAAGGGGCAACAAATTTACAACTTGCAAAAGGCCTAATGCTGATCATGAACTTCGAAAAGAGACCAAATATTCCCCACAAGTAGAGCCAATTGGTCTCTTCATAACTCTTTTGTTCCTTTTTTTTTAAATTTTCATTCATGCATCTTCAATTCATAAGCCTCCGTTGTCTTCTGCACATGAGATGTCTCCACCCCTACAAACTAGGATCTAAACAGTTCAATTGTGTAATCTGTGACATAAAATATTTTTAACAGATGGATATATATATATATATAAACCCGTGTTTTATATATCGATCTTAGTATAATGGAAAGAATTAGATGCTAGATTTTTCGCTCAACGAGAATATTTTGAATATTAAATGTTTTTGGTATGACTATGATGATAGTGATAGGCCACGGTATATCCACCATAATTTCTTTCTACCCTCACACAATCTACACTACTTGCCATCACAAGAATCTCTCTCTCTCTCTCTCTCTCTCTCTCTCTCTCTCTCTTTCTCTCTCTAAAACAATCATATGAGAGAGGAAAAGGGTTAAAGATGAAGAAGAAAGATTGCCCAAGGTTAAGGGGGCAGTAACGTCGACAGTCAGAAAATAACACTTCCTTCTCTAATAATTTGCATATTATTAATTATATTTCTTTAAAAATGCATCTCATTTAGTTTTCTATTGTTTATATCTCCCTTAGAATTCCATAAAGCAACACCTTCAAAGAAGAAGAAGAAAAAGAAGAAGAAGAAAGGAAGATGAGAAGCGTGGGAAGCTCCAGCTCCGGCAGAGGCATAGCCGCAGTGGTCGGCGTCGGTCCAAAACTCGGCCGATCCGTCGCCCGTAAATTCGCCCACGAAGGCTACACCGTCGCCATTCTCGCCCGCGATCTCGGTATCTATATACATACATACACACTCCTATACCCTCATCATTCTACTTATACGTACATATCCTTTCATTTGTATATCTATACGCACGTTATTCACGCCTGTATATATATATATGCATGTGTGTATGTGTTTTATACTCACACGCAACTTTTGTTTCTCCGTTTAACGTTCTCTTTTTTCCGGGAAAATCTTGTAAAACTATATTCTCACTTCCCAAAACGGAGATTTGCTATTTACGCTTACTGAAACATAAAGTCTTACAAGACAAAAAGAGATCTAAATGTTCTTAATGTAATTATAGACTCCCAAAAGTTTCTTCAGATTTCAAGGTTAAACGAAGATTATTATTGATTAACACGTTGCACTAACCAATTTATATATGTGTAATTTCATACTTCGGACGGTTTGTAAATTTATATAATACCAAACAATAACGGCGCATTTCTCGTTCATGCCCTCATAATTCCTCAAAACATTGGGGTTGACCCAATAATCTCTATACAAATCCATCTATATACATATATATACGTAAGTGTGATAATATTGTGGGGTAGGGAGGTTGTCGAGGGTAGCAGAGGAGATAGCAAGAGAAGAGAAAGCTCAAGTTTTCGCCATAAGAATAGATTGCTCGGATCAAAGAAGCATAAGGGAAGCATTCGAAGGAGTTCTGTCATTAGGGTTTGTGGAAATAGTCGTTTACAATGCTTATCCGACCACTTCTTCCACTTACCGTCCGACCACTTTCACCGACATTTCGGTCGATTCCTTCCAAAGATCTCTCGCTGTCTCAGCCGTCGGACCCTTCCTTTGCGCCCAACAGGTAAACCCTTTTTACTACTTCGGTTCTTCCTTTGCCTAACTATTTTGGTTAACTTTTTACTTATGGTGCTACTATCCCTGTTCTTACATTCCAACAAATTTTAAAAAAATAAACGAGGAAGAGAGATACATATTTTAAGGAACATGCGACGAGATTTTCATGTTTGACAGTATTAATGAACTGATCAGATCAGAAAACAGTGGATTATTTCTTGCGGTCAATGGGTATTTTTTTTAATGCTTATAATTAGTATGTTTTAAATTTTGTTTGGAATAAATGACTATTTTTTTTTGAACCGGAAAGGTGATTCCGGGGATGATTGAAAGAGGGAAAGGAACAATACTCTTCACAGGATGCTCGGCGTCTTTAAACGGTGCCGCCGGTTTCTCCGAAATATGTAAATTCCATTTTTCAACATTCTTTTTTTTTTTGTAACATTAATATATTATTAAATCGATGAAGGAAAATAATATCATGTAACAGGCTGTGGAAAATTTGCTTTGAGAGCTCTTGCTCAATGCTTAACGAGGGAATATCAAGCTTTTGGGATACACGTTGCTCATGTTATCATCGACGGCGTGGTCGGACCACCTAGGTAAATTACTTTTCTTTTTCTCCAATCAAAAATCAAACACGTAACGCGAAAGATGAATTTAATTGTAGCCACATATATGATGCGTACGTTCGTGGATATTTTTGCAAAAAGGGAATCTTTTATGACTTCTACAAGCGTCAAGATTTTCCCGATTCAAACGGCAAAGATTCTATCTCAAAACCAAAGATTTTCCAAATCGCATAGTATAGCGTTACTGATTCGACCAACCATGCAATAGACGAAATCGTCGCTCATCTTTTCGTCAACCCAATATATGTTACATGTGGACGTAATTTTCAAGTGTGTTTTGGATCCTGCAACTCATGATATGGAGGGAGAACTTCTAATCAATGAACAAATTACCTTTTTTTTTTTGTTGCAGAGGAACAATAACGCATTCGAGAGGAATGGTAACGGAGCAGCAGTATAAAATGATGAAGAGTGAAGGAGAAGGAGAAGGAGAAGGAGAAGGAGAGAGTTGGGGAGAGACGGGAATGGACCCTGACACGGTGGCTCAGACATACTGGTTCCTTCATGTCCAAGACCGGTCGGCTTGGACCCATGAACTTGACCTCCGACACTCCTTCACCAGATTCTACTGACCCTATGTCTACTCTACTCTTTCCTTTGGCCATATGGTTTGCTGATTATACCCATTCTTGTATTTTGAATGTACATAACCACGAGACGACTAAGATTCAAGAAGGGTTGGGTTCCTGGAGATTGCTGTGATTATATATACAATCAAAATCTTCTACTATCATACTTTATTTCGTTCGCTGATTTTGGTTATTACCCGTCTGACTTGTCGGTGAAGGGAATGGACGTTTTTGTGGCATTTAAGTTTAGGGGCACATGGCGGGTGGGACAAAACTTGCATGGAGCAAGCAACGACTTCGTGTTCGAATTCAGGACACAAAATCTAAGCATTAAGATCCAACCCGACCGGTTACTCTCTTTCACCAGCCTTCCAGGCTTTGAAGAGAAGTACTCTTACTCAGTCACGGGACAAAAAATCCAATCATGAAAGAAGGTACCCGAAAATGGTTTCTGGTTTCTGCCTTACAAATAAGGGGGCCCATGACAAGAAAACGAACCTGTCAAGCGTTCACAGAAAGGATTGAAACGAGAGGGTCGTACCTTTCTTTGCCTGATTAGCAGGAAAGAAAAAAGCCCAAGAATGTGATTGCCTATAACCTGCCAATCAGACGCAACGGGCATTAGCGTGTTTGTTACAAAAGAGTAACAGCTTGATCAAGCCTGTAAGATGAAAACACACACTCTCCCAAACGTTTATTACCATCCATCGGTCTGAAGTGATCTTTGATTTTCCTTACTCTCGCCTGTATGTTTCTCCTCCGGGTCTGTGATCAATCCTCATTTCTGAAAAGCGATCCAGGTCCCTCACTCTGTTGTGGTGGCTATGATACGAATTGGCGTGGCGGGTATGATGGTTCCCGTGTGATCTACTTCGATATGAAACCGGGATATTGGATCTATAGGCCTGAGGCTGAGGGTCGAAACATGCCGGTCTGTTGGCATTGGAGGTAGAGCTTCCATCATATAGTGGTGGAGGCCTTTGGTTTTGGGATACATAAGGATTTTGTGTTTGATAAGCATATGGATATGAGTTGGGTGCATCTGAATAAGGAACATGAGAATGGGAAACATTGAAGGTAGCGTATGAATGAGGACCACTCGAGCGAGGGACATAGGCATTAGGTACCCATGGACGAGGAACATACGAATGAGGTGTGTAGGATCGAGTAGGTTTACTAACATTTCTCCTTTCAGTAGGATTGTTATTGCCCCAGGAAGGATTTGGGCCGTGTTTGGCAAATGCGTGACTACCTCTCATCTCTTGTCTAAAACACCGGGTTGGATTATCATGTCCCTTTTTGATGTTCTCTTTCTCGACTTTTCTTGTCCTTCCTTGAGATGACTTCTTCTCACGACATTGGTTTTGTGATTTCCCTATACAATCAGAGAATAGGCCATTAATAAGAGATCTTCGCTTTCTAGTATAACTGATATATAACAAATCAAATGTCAGCATATGGATGTTAGGAAATGCCAAGACAGTTGTAGAGCAAAGAAGAACATAAGAAACGAGTTTCTCTCACTTCTTTCTATGAAGGCAGACTTCATCTTCCTTTCTTTCCTCGTATCCCTAGCCATTCTTGCTGCAGCACCTCGTTTGTATTTTTCTGAAAGGACTCTCAGCCTGTCTTCTTCGGTAGCCCATGGCTAAGTAAGTAACAGAACCACAAAACATGTAAGCATGTGAAACAGGGGAAACTCGTAACTGGAATTTGCTAGTGACACTCACCTGCCTAAAAGTCCTTAACCTGTAAAGATTTCGGCCTTTCACGAGTAAAGGATGAAGAGCAGGCAATTTCTGACCCCCCTTGCTCCAACACACTTCAATCTTTGATCAAGACAGAGCAGATGGTTAGCTTATAAGGTGGCATATAGGAAATCAGAGAAGACAATATAGAATGGAACGGACTAATTACATCACACACAAGTGAAGGAACGAAAGGGTGACTTAATGCACATTGCCCATGCCAAAAATGGGTTGAGGCTGTGCTTACAGTGAATGTGTGCTGCTGTTTAGCTGATCCATAGCTTTCCTTTACAACCTTGCCAGCTACAGTTCTTGTCCCCAGAAGGTTCCCACTCCTTTTCATCTTCTCAAATCTGTTCAGATCCAGATCCATCATTTACAATGTAACAATTAACATGCAGCATTAAACCTAAAGGAAGGAGGCTAGGGCAGAAACCATAAGTTAGAGAGAAGTCAGTACTTCTGATAAACCTTCTGTGTGAATAAAATGGTGTCTCCTTTGCAGACATTTCCTGCAACAATTGATTGAAGCAACTATCAAGCTCTGCATAAAATTTCGAGAGCGACGTCCAGAAAAACCAACATATCCGAAACAGTCTTACCTTTACAATTGATTACAAATGATGACTGAGGATAAACCACCTCTCCATTTCCATCTTTTACCCTGAGACGTGGATAGGATTATAAGATTACAAGCAATAAAGTACTCCCACCAAGCAGAGATAGAGGCAAACAAACGCAGGCAAAGTCCTCTCTTTGCTTAGGGACAGGAAAAGGGAAACCAAAAGAAATGGCAGCTCAAATTAACGGAAGAACTCAACTCATTACCTCCAGTGTTCAACAATTCTCTCAATACAGACAGCTTTAGTTCCAGCCAATCTAAGGCGATTCTTTCTGAGATATGCTTTGCATTCTTTAACCTTCAAAACTTTCAAATCACGTCCCTCTACAAAACATCGGAGTTGAGATAGGAAATGCCCACACGAGTCAATTTGGTGTTTCCTGAGCATCTCGTCAAAGATTTCAGAGTAAAATAAACACAAGACATTCAGTTTTCATCTAGAGAGCAATCCATCCAGTATGAAGGAAAATGAAGACTTATCCACAAGACTGAGAACAATCCTAAAAGACTATGATACATAATGCAGACACACAGCTAGTTGTCCAACTACTAACGTCAAACAGCATAGGAAGATTACATCTAAGAAAAAAATCTAAAAAGGGTATACAACCAATATGAACAATCCACATTCACATGTATTCCATTATGTCCCATGATAACGCAAAAGAATCCCTAAAGCGATGAATATTATCTACGTAAATACTTTTATTAACCAATCATATACAATATGAAGCCAAACATTTTGATTAATCCACGGGTAGAACGACAAGAAATTGATATATACGAAGCGAGTTTGGCGAATGCAGCACAGGAAATTAGGATTTATAAGCCCTAAACAGCTAAACCTTTGAGCAGTTGAATGACTTTGTTCACGAGAGAGTCCTCGTCATCACCACCACCATCATTGTCATCGTCGTCGTCATCGTCGTCGTCGATGTCATCCATGTCCGATTCCGAAAGATCATCTTCGCTCCACTCGCTGTCATAACCACTGACAGAAGAAATGGAAAATCAATCGAGAATACAATGATCGGAAAAAGAAAACCAGAAACGATAAACACAACATGCAGGGAGGTCGTCCCTAATACCTCAAACTCCAGTCTTCGTCATCAGTTTCCTCGAGCCCTCCTTCTTCTTCTTCTTCTTCTTCTTCATCATCATCATCTTCGTCCTCTTTGTCGTCGTATTCTTCATTTTCACCACCGTCATCTTCTTCTTCTTCGTTCTCCGAACTACAGAGATCGACGATCTCCTCCTCCCCCTTCGCCATGGACATCAGTTAGAGAATTTTAAAAACGAAAACAACCCGGAATTTGAAATTTGAAAGAGGCATCTGTCGTATACACACGGGGGGTTGTTCACAGAATCACAGCTGTAATTTCTCCGCCTTTTTCTTTTACAAATTAGATTTTCTAAAAATAAAATAAAAAATCCCAAAACAAAACAAAAAAAATAATACAAGAAAATGAAGAATATTACATTGAATTGTAATAAAGATGATCTTCTTAGACAAATAAATAAATAAACGATCATCTTTCGTAATTCTGCTTAAATTTTAAAAAAAATAAAGATTTCGACATTTTCCATGACAGAACCAAAAGAAGACGGAGTGAAGATATAAGATTTTGTCAAACCAATTCTAAACAAATCTGTCAGAACATCATGGACCCGGTTTGGGAAACAACCTCATCTACAACTACATTCACTCTCACTTCTTTAGCTTACATTTTCTGTGCTTCTGCTTTCATCAATATAAAGAAGAAAAAAAACAGACATAAATAACCCATTTAAATAGCCCTTCCATATATTAAATAAATAACCCACGACTAGGACAGTGAAGATCCTGTCGTTGTCTGAGTCGAGAGCAACCAGCAACAAGAGGGGATTCTTCTGATTACAGAACCTTCTAACGAGCAGCTTTAATGGCAGAGCTAGAAACACCGTGAAGCAGTTTTACAAAACCCAAGAAACTGAGCTTTCCATCTGTATGCCTAATCCAATCATGGAGAACAGCGTGTACCGGCACTGCTGGCCCCAGTCCAAGTTCCTGAAACCATTTTCAGACATTACCAGTGTCAGGCCGTACAATCAGTGCATCTGGCGAGGTATTAGTAGGATTTTTACAAGGGTAAGTATGTATACCGAAGCAAGTTCCTCGATCATGATCGGTCGGTTTCCTTCCTTCTCGAAAAGCTCATACGCACAACGAGCGTGCTGTTCCCACCGGTCAAGTGCCTCTAGCTGGTGAACGCTCAATGCCGCTGCACAGAATTCCTCAAAGTCCATTCTTCTATATTGAAGGGCACTAAGCTAAACAAGTTGAAAGAAAGAATGTTATAATACCAAGTAGGTTAAAACATTTTGATAGGATCAGGGAGTAAGCTAGTGAAAGCACTCACTTGTGCTAAGAATTCAGGAATTCGTGAATCTTTCATTGCGTCTGTCGCGCTTTTCATTAGTGCCTGAGAAGAGGTGGGTCAGTGTTATTAACAGCAATTGAAGTGGCGAAAACAAATGGAAAAGAGATTAGAGTGGTGAAAAGATTATTACCTCTTTGATATTCTCCAGACTTATAGTTCCATTTTTGTTTGGTTCTAGTAACGCAAACTGCTCCCTCAAATAAAATAGCTCATCTACAGTCAAAGTTTTCGACAATGCCTGCAAGACGGTCTTATGGTAAGTATTCTGACTAATGAAACCAAAGGTTCCTGTCGTACTTGTTAGTTTCTCACTTCAAAATGGCAGCTCGTGTTGTCAAAATTCCCCCAAACAAGGGAGAGCAGAAGAAGTTCATGGAATATAAATACTAAAATTGAATTCTGGAAAGTGTAACCCACCCTTAATGCAGCTTTACGGAGAGAGGATGATCGAAGATAAGCCCTCATAAGTTTGAACACTGATACATCCAAGGGCACCTTCACGTCATTTGAGTTCTTTATCCATGGATGACCTGAAAGATGGAAAATAACAATAAGCATTGATACCACAGAAGAAAAATGACAAAGAATCCGTCTTCTGACAGCAGAAAATGCCTACTTAGGGCTTGTGCAGCTGTTAATCTTTTACGTGGGTCTTTGTTTAGTAAACGCTTCACAAAATCTCTAGCTTCCGAAGATAATGAAGGCCAGGGAGGTTCATCGAAACTTGGGTCTGCCTTCAGAACAGCACGGAAGATCCCTGACTCAGTCCGGGCCCAAAAGGGACGGCTTCCACACAACAGAATATACACAATAACACCGACACTCCAAATATCAGCTTCTGTACTGTAAGATCTATGCAGAACTTCAGGTGCAACATAGTATGCACTACCAACAATGTCATTGAGCCTTTCGTCTGCAAAAGAAATGTCAAAGCATAAATAACAGGCTGGTCTAGATTCTGGATGTGAGACAAGAGACAAGAGGATATGCATGCTGTCCCATGATTCGAGGCTTACCTGGTCTCACGTAATCAGACAAACCAAAATCTATGGCCTTCAATTGGGAGTTCTCTTCTTTCGACATAAAGAGGAAATTCTGATCCAGCAAATAATTAAACTTGGATAAGTAATTAAACTTGGTCACAGCTTTTGAACTTGAAATGAGAGCTAAATGCATGGAGAAAGGAAATCACCTCAGGTTTGAGATCCCGGTGAACTACACCCTGTAGATGGCAATAGGCAACGACATTGAAAATTTGTATCATGACAGCCTTTGCATCCTCCTCGGTGTACTTCCCACCTCTGCACAGAAATCACCGGCAAATTCAGTGACCAATCCTCTGAATTATAGTGCATCGAGGTGGACCCTGAAAACCTTACCTTGAAAGTATTCTATCCAAAAGTTCTCCTCCTTCACATAGCCTACGAGCCAGAGAGAACCACAACACCACATATTAAATCAAGGTTTTTCATAAGGTAATGCAAATAGTAATCGATAAGTATAAACATACTGTAGAGCAGAGAGCTTACTCCATTACTATGTAGACATTATCGTGATCCTCGTAAGCATCGTAGAAATGGGGTAAGTTATTATGACCGCACAAGGTTCTCAAAATCTTTACTTCCCTCCGTACATCTTCAATGGCTATAGCCGTTGTCATCTAACCAACAAAAAGAAGTAGCAATCAGAAATGTGGAGTATAACTGTGAATTGTGAAATGCCCACCTAGAAAGATGCAAGAAAATCTGAGTCAAACTCCAAACATTCACACAAACAAAGGCCAGCAGTAGCTTAGTTTTAAGATCATGCAGAGTTCAAAAGGCTAAAAAGGAACGGATTTGAACTCCATGTAATTGTTTTAACTGCATCTCTGCAAAACCTGAACTAAAGATCAACTTCAATCCAGCTTAATTGAAGGAAGAAAACGGATTAACACTAACAGATCTCATCACTACAGCGAAAAAACCAAACTTTGAGCTGAACTGCATAACCCTTGTCTGAAATCCAGAAGAAATTATCACCTTGGCTTTGGGAATAACCTTTACAGCGACCTGTTGGCCCTGATTGTCGCCCTTCTTAAACTTGGCGGCACAAGTGTAGCCAAAATGGCCACGACCAACCTCGTCGCCGAGCTCGTACTTGCTCGAGAAATTCTTCGAGAATCCAAAGTTCTTATCTAGTCCCACGCCGCTGCCGGCTTCGCTCCCCTCCGGGATCGCCGCGCCATTCGGCTTCACGGAGCCGTGCCGCCGCGCAAGCACCGCACGGATATGCTTAGCCGGAGACGGAGGCGGGAAAGGCCGCTTGAAGAACCGCTTCGGTGTGGAGTTCCCACTGGCGGCGTTTTTCGCCGGAGATCTCGCCGGAGTCTTCTTGGAGAAGAAGTAGTGAGCGGGGCTGGGACTGTAGAACGGGAAGAAGGGCGATTTCTTCCCCTCATTGCGTCCTCCACCGTTCTCTACACACTGATCGTCGCCGCTAGGGTTTTCGCCATGGAGGGAGCTCGAGGGTGGAGTCTTGACGCTGTCTGAAGCAGGTAGAGGACTGTTCCTATACGGATTACGATCGGAATTCGGGGAATTGGGGCTAGGATGAGATTTCGAAGTACAGAGACCCATCAAGAATTCCTCGCATCCCAAACAAACGCATCAAAATCTCAAGAGCATTACGCATCAAACAGAATAAATCAAACAGTAAGGTAGAAGAACAAAGAACGAGAACAACCCAGATTTCAAAAAAAAGAGTTTTGAATTTCAAAATCTCGCAAAAGAGATGCGGAATTGTTCTTTCCCCCGAGTTTTTTTTTTTGTTGGGAACTGAGGTTTTTTTCCCCCTTGTCCCCTTAGTCGCTGGTGAATTCCAAAGCGAAAGATGGGGATCCAAGAGAGAAGGCGTTAAAAGAGAAACGACGACGCCTTCGATTTTAAAAGAACAAAAATAAAATTAAAAAAAAACGTATTAAAACTAATTGTACCATTTTTATTTTATTTGTTTCCACAAAATTTAAATAATGGCAAGAACCATATCAAGAAAATATATTCTGACCAACTTCATTAATTCTCACAAACTAACAAAATCGACATGATACTATAAATATATCACGGTACTGACCATAAAAAAATCCTAGAAAACAATTCACATATATACTTGAACTGGGTCGGATAGTTCATCTATGTAACTTTTATTTTTTCGCAACAATCTAAATAAAATGTTTGTACAAACATTTAAATGTCTTAATTTAAGGAATAAAAACAGATAAAATGAGTGGTTATGATTATGGCAATCAATGTTTACAAACATTGATGACAATGGTAAACGGTCATCTATCACACCAATAATGCAGATTAACAAATCAGAACCGGTGCAATTAAATATACACATTGTGACATGATCATTTATCCGTTGTATACGATTGTCAGTAACTGTGATGAAATAGATACCAAGGGATAAAATAAATAAATATGAAAATGCCGTGTAATGAAAATGTAAGAAAATGCGGCGTAATAATAATAATAATTAAAGAAAATAAGCGGAGGAGGTGGGTAGGGTGGGCCCAGTATAAGAGGTGGTAGAGTGGTTTTTGTTATTAATAATAACAATAACTAATAATTTATAATTATACAATTAGGAGGGAGATTGTTCTTTAATTAACGCCATTTTGCGTTTGGTTACGGTCAGATCCTTCCTCGATAATCCCTCCCTAAGGCTATTATGGTCATTCGATTAGTTGCGTTCGTTTAGGTTCTATAATTTCGATAAAAAAAAGGGTTTATTTTTAAAACATAAATCAATACATCAAAATAAATCAAAATATAATATAAATTTATACGTATAAATGTTTTTAAACTAAAAAAATAATGGAATCAAACCAAAAAAATCTATTCCTAACGTTTTATAATTGAAATCACGTTTTTTTCGTAAATATTAAATATGCCAATGCTTCACAATTCCTTTTTCTGAGTTTAGTTTCACAATTTTTTTTCTCAAACCTAAAAACGTTTTTTTATTTAAAAAAAAAAACATTTGAATGGAGGAGCGGCACGGTTCACATGAAGGGAACAAGAGGAAATTAAAGCATATGCCTAAAGTTATGACCAATTCCGGCTCCAACGCCTACTTGCGTTCCTCTTATCCAAATTCGGTGCGATCGGATTTCTGTTCAAGCCTTGTGGTTTGTTCGTATTGTTCTACATACCTTACAATATACACATCGACCTTCCCTTTCTATGTTTCATTTACATATATAACCCATGTTTTAAAATCAAAAATGAAAATTCGTATGGGTCACGAACATTAATTTTTCACCGTGGTTACATTCCATTTTATAAAAATTATTTCCGGTTTTGTCATTAAACCTATTCGCAGTTGGCATCGTGCTCGGAGGGGGAAAAAAGAAAGAGACTTTTCATATTTGCCATATTGCAACGTAAATAGCAATGGCTCGTCGGTCAACGTTATTAGATTTAACGTGGAAAAAGCATGCAAAACTGTTGCCCGTTGAATTATAATTACGGGACATCGACTGCCACGTTCCCATCAATTTTTAGAATATATATATATATATAATTCGAGACGCCCAATTTGAATACTCGTAATACGCGTGTTCAGCCTAATGTCTCTACGCATACCTTTGCTTTTAATTCGTATACCCACTTAACCTCGACATTTCAGCCCTCGGTTACTTTGAATTTGACCAAAGTTTTTAAAAGTTTTAAATCCGTGTCTTCGCATGCAGGACATGTCACGTGATCACTACGTGCGGAAATTTCGATTCGAAACGTTATACATCGCATCAACTTATACGACGTCATCTAATAATAATGATGTGGTCTCTACGTATATGATATTTGATTTTGTCCAACTCCAAACCTATAGCACGAGGACGCACTCATGATGAAACTCGCTTGTTGCACCCGACACGTTTAGAAGCCAATTCAAATTTGAGTTATCATTTTGTTTTCCACCGGAAAATGTTATATACGTGGTGTGTGTGAATGTAATTAATATATACATATACACACGTAGTGGTAAACATATTCATCACCTACCCGTCAAAATTTTATATGATTATTAATGTCGGACAATATAATATATAAGTTCCCGAAATCAGTAATTTGAATATTGTTTGACGTGAACTCGTATTTGAATTTCACACGTATGCTAATAGTAAACCCCACACGTTACAATGATCCAAACTTGCAAAATTAATAACCAAACCCTGATGAGGCAATGCGAAATGGAGTTACATACAAAATTGCAAATAAATCAATGCATAGCCGAATAGTAATATAAAAGGACGATCAACTAATGTACATATGACATCCATGAAATCTAGCGTACCATGATTCTTCTATATAGAATAAGAAAATAAAACGAACGAAGTCAACTTCCAAATCCATGATTCATGCATATCGGTATGTTATATATATATAGATATATTATGTATCCCATGACTGCAACGATGGTATCCCTCCGCCCTTCTTCTTCTCTTCCTCCACGTTTCCCTTCTTCCTTAAGTTTGTGCCAACCCTTTTTCATACGTAAAAAACTAATATTATGTAATTCACGATTCAATAAAATAAATAAATACGCATCAACAGACGTATACATGTGTATGTGAATATAACTTGGCGAAACAAATGGAAATGGGGAATTGACTTGTGGCGTCGTAATAATGGCACTTTTGAAATCAACCATTGGCTTTAGTTTTTTCCTTTTTGCCGATCTCCATGCACCACCAACAATGTCCAATGCCCCCTCTCTCTCTCTCTCTCGATATTGGTAAGTGGTACCAAAACTAAAAGAGAAAAAAGGGTTTATTGGGTCTCACTCAGGGGCAATTCTGTAAATACAAAGACTCTTTTTCTCCCTCTCCGAGAAGAGGAATACATCAAGAAGAGAGTTGGAGAGAACAGAGAAAGGCAAGAAGAATGAGTAGGATCCCAATGTAACAGCAACTAAACACACGCGCATTCTAGTTCGATATTGATTATATATATATATATATATATTCCATTATTTTATGTTTATATTTATCCGTTGATTTTTAATATTAGAACAATTGTAAAAAATAGTATAGACGTGCATCGTAGACTATTAGTATTTTCTATCAACAATGAAATATATTCCACATTGGCAAGCGAGTGTTGGAGACGGGAGGGCGCGTGTAATCAATCAGAGTTTTGGGGTCAAAATGCGAAAATATTAAAATATAAACCCCTTTTCCGTGAATGACAGATTTCGACTTAGGTTTTTTGCCATCTTTCTCCCCGTTCCGCCGCTTCCGGTCGGTTTCTCTATCGCCATCGCCGGCGTCGTGACCTCCATCGTGTACCGGATTCCGTTAAGTGTCCGGTATTTGGCTCTTCTTCTTGCCTCTTCTGCTTTTTATTCTTCTTCATTGTGTATTACGATAGTTTCTTCGCAAAGATGTTTGTCAGCAATGGATTCGAGCGTTTACTATAACAAGCTCGCATCAATCAAAGGGATGGATTTCGCTGTCGTTCTACCGATTATCCTTGACGTTGTGTTGATTTCTGCGCCAGAAAACTACCGCGCACCGTAGAAAGTGAAGTGGTCTTACCGGTTCAAATTTTCCAGTTTCTGGCAGCAATTTCGATCCTTCGAGAGTTTCAACCTCAGGGATGAAAATGTATGTCGCCAATCTAACCTGATTCATCACTTTAGGTTTCGAATTCGTTAGTCTCATTATGGGTTTCGATTTGGGCATTGCAGAATAAAGGCGAATGCAGGATCACTGACGAATTTCGAGGTGCTCGACTTTTTGAAATCAAGGGGAGCGTCAAAGGATCCTACGAGAGTTATAGCTCCAATCTCTAGATCTGAATACAAGGTCTTTCCTCGTCCAAACAGTGTTGCCGATTTTGGGTTTCAGGATGTTGAATCGAAACCAAATGATTTCGATTGTGTTAACCTCCATAGGTCTATGATTATTTGGTGGAGACCCCTGCTTTCACTCAAACCCGAGAGAGTGTCAACACATTCGCTGAGAAATGCAAAGGGTTTAAGCTCGCCAAAGCTGAGATTCTCAATATCATCAATCTCCGACCATCTTCCATTGTTGATCTTCAGACGGTAAGCTTTTCATCCATCCCATACGCAGCATCAGTTTCTCGGGGGTCTTTCCCCATTTTTGTTTATTTGTTTCTACACCTTGGTTGAGTAGATCGTGGAGAAGCTCGATGATAGAGAAATAGATACGGATGGGCTGCTGGAGCTGGTGAAAGAGGTGTTGCCTCCTGTTCCGGGTGATGAAGGAGCTGTCCGAGAAGAAACAGAGAACGGTGACGGGGATGGAACAGCCGATGACGGAGAAGAACCCATGGAGACAAGTTGAAATCTTTTCTGTGTAAACTGTAACTGGGAACTCGCAATGTGTTTCCTTGTTCATGCAAAATCTGAAGCTGAATCCAAAAGTCTAAACGATTCAAAGAAACTTCGAAATTGCTCAAGTTTTTGGTAGGAATTATGGTTCTCGTTTACTGTATAATAGAATGATACTATATATTCTCTTAACTGGAGATTTTGGCTTAACTACTCCGGTCTGGATGAGAATGAGATATTGTAATAAATGGCTCCCTATATTTCATGAAAACTCATGTTTTCTATGGGTTTAATATGACTATATTAAACCTAAAGGATGATCAAATTAAGTTAGTGGTGATTCTTTTAGTTCATGTTTGTTGGTACATTATACATGTCAGCTTTATGGGTTTAGACAATGTAATCATTGTGATATCACTGATATGATGAGGTGGTCGATACAACACCATTTTACTTCACAAGCCTTCATTCCTTCAAACGGCTAAAAAGCCTAATAAACCAAACAAATGCACAACTGTAATGCAAACGAATTGTGACCATACCCTTAAGCTACATTTCATACTGATTCCGACCGATGGTCCAAAACGATAAAAAAAAAAGGACAACCTCAAGGGTTCTCTCGGTTGTGTATACAAGAAGGTTATTCTTGAAACTGATTAAGTTTGGAAAAGGAGACACCTTTTTTGCAATGGAAACCCCCAAATCCCAAAAGACATTAGCTTTAACTTATTATGATGCAAGAACAGCTTCTGGCTCAGCAGGTGGGTTTGAGGCGACAATCTTACAAATAGGAAGGCTCTCCGCCGCACTTAGAAGCTTCAGTGAGGGGTGAACTTTGATATCTCGCAATAACACCTTGTCCTCGATGTCAAGATTGCTCACGTCCACCTCTATTTTTGAAGGAATTTGCTCTGCTGGGCATAGGAATTTCAGGCTACTTCTTACTGTACGTAGATGTCCCCCTGATCACCATAACATACATTGTGTTGGAAAGGTTGAATCAAACGAAAGAGTTCTGTTTAATATTCACATGAACCAAACTAGAACTTATGACATCAAACCGGGGAGAGAAAAAAGAACCAGTAGTTATATAAACAAAGTGAACAAAGATCTTGAAGCGATTTCAGGCGATGGGCCCTTAGTATAGAAGATCTAATTCCTCTAGCAGCCTAGCTAAAACAGGATCAACAGAAGCGTGGTAAATAAATTATATTATCGTCGCCCATTGTGAGAAGTAAAAGCTGTGTCCTTCAGACAGAACTGCAACAGCATCTGACCAAATGTCAAGCCGAGAAAAACATAACATTTCTCAACCATATGCCAGTAAAAACACAGCATTTACTCTCAGAGAAATGAAGGTCCAAGCAGCAAGTGGCTCAATAAAAAAAATGAACGGTGGAAAATAGTGATCAAGGCAAGGTAGAAGCAAGCATCACCAAGCAAGAACTTATTCCTTCAGACTAACAAAATCAACCAGCAACCATCACCAGCCGAGATCGGCGAACCCATGTATTGATTAGATAATAATAACTCAGGTTCTAGCACCAGATTAGCTACAAACTGTCTTTCCCAATGAACAGACACGGCATCCTAATACTCATTCCAGTATGCGCATTCAGACGGCCAACAAAAATCTTACCTTTTTTGAGACCGGGGCAGTTTTCCAATCCTTTGAACGCAACAGGAATATCAACCTTCAACTGTTCCCCGTCTTCAGCCCGTACGAACACTAAATTGAGTATCTCCCCCGTCTTTTCATCCCTATGAATCTGAATAAAAATCCCCACCAGTATCAGACCATCAGCCAATTCCCGTATAATATCCATATTAAATTCGATCAAGCTAGAGCTTTGTAAAACAATGTGCATAACGGAACACTTGCCTTTAGGGGGAGTACTCGACCCGATTCGAGAAGCAAAGATGACCCGGGTCCGGCTCGGACCTGGAGCTGAAATGTGGTGGAGCAGAAGTATGGAAGACCGATGGATTTAAGGAGAGACTTGATCTGCTTCTGGTCCGCAGTCAAGAGCTGCTTCCTCGAACCGCAGCGTTTCGAAGCCTCGGTCTCGAGAAGCGACTGCGAGAAGACGACGGCGGGAATCCGACCAAGCATCCGCTCCCGGGTCGCGACTCCTCGACCCGTCACCTCGCGTGGAATAGCTTGGATTGTGTGGTAACGATCAAAGGAGGAGAAGGATCGACGGAAAAGAGACGCCGGCGGATCAATCTCCACCGCCGTTGAGGCG